GGACCCCACGTGGCACTCACTGAACACGATTTTCGATGCCAGCTGATCTGTGTAGCCACTGGCCGAGCGGATAGTGGGTTGGACTCTGGCGCAGCCTATGCAGGTTCGAGTCCTGTGCATGAGTCGTTTTTGCATTTGTACCAAATTACTTTTTCTTGCGAACAATTTAATTTTGAGCCTTTAGCATGCAGATTCTCATCAATGCACCGCAATAATCTCGTTTATTCACTACAAACACATAATTCTACTTTTAAGCATCTAAAGGATAATTCTCAAATCTCTGCGCAAATATGATGATCGATTACAAAATGTTCGAAACACAGTAGGCGTTCGCAATGGGCACATCTGATGAAAAATAACTCATTACATTCGGGCTCACACTCATCACTGTCTTCTGCAGACCAGGAGGAGTCCGAGACTTCCTCATCCATAGTATCATCCTCGTCGCTGGCAACATCGAGGTTGCCGTATACTGCTTCACGGAGAATCGCCGCGAAGTGATGTATCACTTTCGCCTCATCCCTTGTAGGTTTCCGGGTCACTTCGCAGGAGCCAAACTCCTTTACTAGGCACGACAAGACAAGCTTGGTGCAAAACATCTTACTGTTTGAAACCCGCTTGATTTGGGAGCTTGTCAGATTATCGATTGATGCATAGATACCTAACCGTACCAGTCTGTACCAGCAGTACCGATTAAAACAAGACTTTCCCCACGTATTGCACAGTACCACCATTATATACTGTATAACTCTCTACTTTTCTCCAATATTTGATAAGAATCTGCATGCTAAAGGCTCAAAATTAAATTGTTCGCAAGAAAAAGTAATTTGGTACAAATGCAAAAACGATTCATGCAACAGGACTCGAACCTGCATAGGCTGCGCCAGAGTCCAACCCACTATCCGCTCGGCCAGTCGCCACACAGATCAGCTGGCATCGAGAATCGTGTTCAGTGAGTGCCACGTGGGGTCCCATGGGGGGAAAAATGCTCATAATTTGCACTGGTGACCGCTTCGCAGATATGGAACACAGATATGAGTTACTCGTTCCAAGACCCGCACAACGGTATATGACTCATCATGAATGGCCACGGCATCCCAGTATCCTTCCCTTGTCAGACAATCACAGGCTCTCAGCCGGCGGCCACAAAGCCACCGCGCTTTTGGTGGGTTTTCGCGGTGGCTTTGTGGCTGCCGGCTGAGAGCCTGTATTGTCTGAGTAGGTACTCGCAGTCTTCAAGGATGTCGTTCTGAACTCGATGAGCATACTCTTCAAACTTTTCTAAACCGGGTGGACATTTATAGAGTCACAACATATAGATATTTTGCAAGATAAACATCCACCAGAACCTTATTTTTACAGCACCGCAAGATTTGTTCCATCTTGATTTTTCGGATCAACTGTGTGATGCTAAACTAGGATTGGATGTTCAAAGCCATAAACTAGGCTCAGTTCACGAATTGCAGTGGTTTTTTGACTCACGTACAAGCGCTGGCTCTTCTCAGCGCCTCTGCCTTTTGCCATTAGACTGTGCTTTTACCCGCAAAAGTTATGTAGAGAAGTAGCTAGCTCCACAACTTCCTAACGTTAACACCAGCACACACTCAAAAAATGCAAAGTGTCGTGGTTCGCCCAAGTTCGGCAAGCTGTAAGCTTGTTAAAAAACTCCTTAAGTTATTGACTACAGTCAATAACTGTGATGGTACTAGAAATCTTATGAGGAGTAAAAGCAAAAACAATGCCCTATCGGAGTTATCATATTCACTTTGCTTGCTACGTGCGCGAATCGAGAAAATAACGTGCTCCTCGATTCGCACTGGGGCGCAACTCAGTTTCCCCACCAGTTCCGCGGCCGATTATGGGCGTTCCGCTCGGCGTACGCCCGAAACCGCATGAAAAGAATCCGAGAGCTCGCTGATTGTGGCTAGTGCTTGCTGAGAGAAATTATTTGACGAGAGCCCGCAGAAAACTTTGTATTACTGCCCGCAGGCAGAACATGCGACAGTAAAGGAAATAAAGCCCGCTGAAGGTTTTGCCACGCTCCAAAATTCTGCTGACCGCCTGCTGAAAAGCGCGAGTTTGCGGTACGCCTGCCCCGGCGATTATCCGAGTAGGAGAGACGCAACGCAAAGGGCCCTCAGGATATACCACAGACAAATGCGGCGTAGCTTTGTTCCATAACACGGCGTCGCCGCTAAAATTCACAGTTTACGCTGTAGGATTGGATTTTCACAAAGCTGTTTCAGCTGTGTTTTTGAGGTTCGTACTTTTGTTGTAAAGGATCTTATACATCTTTTTCTTAGGTAAAAAATAATTATTGTTCAACCTATACGCCTACTCAAAGTATTATTCCTCTATGGACTTTGCAACATTTTAACGCTAGTTTTCTTACGCCTCATAACTATGAAGGCAGCCGATTTGAGTAAGGCGACTGATATACAGGATGCGTCACAAGCCAAGCGGCTCAGGTCCTCGCGACCGCCTTGCTCTGGCCCTGCGCAGGTTAACATCTTTGTCTGTATAAAGAACCGACAGATCTATCTAATCTATCTATTATTAATATATAACGAATGGTAAGCGCAATTCAAAAATGTGCAAATAGCGGGAAACCGCGTGGCGGTCCCAGCACGGGATGCAATCTAGCGCCTTTGATTACTGGTTCACTAGTAAAAGTAAAAAAGCCATGAATTCAAGGAAGCACTTTTCTACTACCATAGCCGTAAAGCTAATGTTGGCTGCGGAAACATTCAACTTTACGCAAATAAATATGCGCTGTGGATCGAGCATGCGAATGTTCTCTAGTTTGTGAGAGTAGTGGTTCAGGCGTAATCCGGGCCTTACTGTTGTTCCTTTTGGAACGGCTCCGGGACAGCTCGGCGCTGGCTCGGCGGGCTGTCCCGGAGCCAGCGCCGAGCTGGCTTCGACACTCTGGCGGGAACCTTAGCAAGAAATGCTATCGCTTACGAACGAAATTTTCTAGAGTCGACTGTCCCCAGACAGGTATCGCATTTTTGATCTAATTCACTTTATAGCTAATGATGCTCACGTGCTTTCGAACTCTACTTTGATATGACATTTTACAACTGTACATAAGTTTCTGTCTTTATTTTACAGATGAATACGTTACTAAACAGGAAGAAAGAAGAGCGACGCATGAGTTGACTCGCTTTCCGCCGACACATCTTGCAAAAGCTATATAAATCCCCTAGCTTAAAGATAAAGTTATCCGGAAAACAAGTTCACAACAAACTCGGTCAATGGTGCCAAGAAACATAGCTGTGCACGAAATAGTCCTGACAAGCTGAAAGTACTGAGAAAAGCTTAGATTTGACAGTCATCTGGCATTCATCATCAGCAGACAGAGACAGCGCAAAACTAAACGAATCCTTCAAAGTCGACTGATGAATCCTGACCTCTTTCTCCCATACTTTGACTTTGTTTCGTAAGCAAAGTAGGAACAGAGTTAGTCAGTTTCTGATACACTGCTTTGAGCCACCCCACTCAAGAAGCACCCAGGAAGAACTGCCATGATTTGCGCTGTAGCTAGTGCTACGCTAGTCGTTTTCGGGTGTCAGAACACACTTGAATATTTCTGTTGTCGGAAGATCAAGCAAATAAGAAATTGATATAGCACTATTGTATCGTAGGGAGATTGTACGACAGCATAGCGTAGGAGAATGTACGACAGCATAGCGTAATGAGATAAATTTACAATTTGAGAGAAAAGGTGAGTGAGGATCAACATTGTGACTGATCAGGAAGAAAAAGCATAAAATCCATGACGATTTGAAAAAAAGAAATACGTTTACTGACAAAAATAATTAACGGGTCTTAAGGCACACTATGCATTGCGCGTGAAACTGCTTCAACATGGAAGTGTCGATCTCCGACACTGACATAATATTGTCGTTCCAAACAACTTGCACCTCGACCGGTGAGTGATGCGGGGACGTTGTAGTGCAACACTTACTCAGAGCTCCTAAGCAATTACTACTTCTTTATCACATTCATTACAAGATTATGAAGCAATAGACGTAAAGTCAGATTTTCTATAGTCAACATTAGCCTTACACCTAGTTTTGGCTACGGTGGTGGAAAAGTGCCTCTTGCACGCTATAATCCGTTCCTTCATACTACGCCGCAGGACACAGCACCCTGCCGCAGCCTGCGGCGTACGCCGCTGCAGTCGCAGCGAAAATATGCAAAAACATGAAAATATAGTAACCTTATAAGTAAAACTGCACATGATAGCGCATTGAAGTCATTTACCGATAACAAATGGAGCAAAACAAGTTTGGTGTAATTCGAACGCACCCAAATCCAACCTGAGTGAAAAATCATTGAACCTATGATGAAATAAGGCAAAAGAGAAGGAAGATTGCTAATCCGAACGAATACTCTCCATGCGAACGTACACAGAAGAACATCGATAAACCGCAAAAATGCGGTGGCATAGCCATATCGTCGCCGACTGCAGCGGCGCACGCCAAAGATTGAGGCAGGCTGCGTTCCGGGCATACTATGAGGGAAACCTTACTTCATGGCCAGACAGTTAGAACCATGGCTGGTCGAAACAGCCTTGAGACAAGTGTTCTTCGACGCGCTTCAATAAAGGTACGGACAGATCTATGGAACTTTGCACGCGTACCGCAAACAACTCAGTCGAAAAGATGTACCGAATCTCGTAATTTTTTCCAAAAAAAGATCAAGTTTCCAATCTTTCCAACAAATTAGTATAATGAACATGGGAAAGGTCGGCCTCCAATCGTTTGACATTCATGAGCACCATTAATTATTTCGCACCATGTATTGAATACATCAGATGCGGAGCTGGGCTTGTCTATACTGTGAGCCATTACTTTTGTGAGATATAGCACGCCAAATCGCAGGTGTCCCAAGGATTTCATGCAGCACAGAAAAGCTTCAAGTTTAGGGGAAATTGAATTCAAATAGAAGTTTAAAACAAATAATGAACCGTTCATAATTATACAGCAACAAACCTCATTTGGAGAAGCATTAAGGCGCATAACGTCGGGTTTGGATGGGGTCGACTCTTTCAATGTAGCTACTTCACATTCGAGTTCACTAATAGTGGTATCTTTTTCCTCCTTAATGAAAGTAACCAACATGTGACCAGTGACAGGAGAACTGAAAGTAGAAACTAATATGATGAAAAACACCTACGAGCAGTTTTTGCAGGGTGTCCACTTTCACTTTTGATAAACGGACATGCTCTAATTGCTTCTTCACAAAGCGGATCAAGTCATCTCGACTAAGGGAATCCAGCTAGAAAAGATTACCTGGCCTTTTGCACAGATTGTTCCATCATCAAAGAAAATGCAACAACACTATTTAACGATGTAGCAACACCTAAGCTCACTTTGGACTTAACCTGAACTCCCAAAGCATCGCTCTCAGATGTTGTGGATGCCATTACGTGCCCAAGCACAAGAACCTCCTTAAAATGCAGCTACTTTAACCAAAATAAGACTAAACTTCACTAAAAAATGCATTCCAAAGATTTCCATTCATATAGACGTCCCTCTCAGCGTGGATTTGCAGAACTCGCAGTGATGGGGTGTTGGAATGCATACGGACGACGCGCGTTCATTGAACTGTCGTACGAAAGTAATGCTTGGTATGCGAACCCCATTATAATTGAGAACCATTAGTGCGTCGTAACTCACGACTCCTTACTAGTGGTCCCTCCATATTGTACAATTCGCTTAACGAAAAAAACTTTCAAATATACATGATCAAGTTGGAAATGAAGAAAACAAGACTTTCTTTCTCACCACGACAAGTTTAGCCAGTGCGTTCATGTGTGTTAATTTACATACATGCACCATAAATGCCATAAGTAGATGTATTACAATGCAAAGATTAGCGAGTAAAATGAGATGAAGGTTGATGGAAGCTAAATTCAGAAAGTAGACGCTTTGCGAGGATTTTTGGGACGATGCCAAATTTCAGAAGATCAATCGCGCATGTTTTCCTGGAGCAGCATTTATCATTCTCCCGCATGTCCTCTCATACAGTCTTTTTCAGCCCGTAGTAGGCGAAACATTTAAGTGGAGCAGCGCGTCCGCACCGCCACTGGCTCAGCGAGGTAGATTAGAATGAAGGGACGCAGACTGCAAAGCGGCGCAAATCTTTGCGAAGCGGACTCCCCGCCAATCTCCGCATAAAGTGAGTTGAAGCTTACTGTCCTGTTCGGGAACCAGCTGTGGAGAGCCGCAAGCAGCGCGAGCGGGCGCATATCAATAAAAACTTAATAATCTTTTGTTCTTTACTGTTTTTTTCCTTTCGGTCATCGAGCACAGTTTTTGTTTATATGCACGTTCAGTGATCAAGTCAACAATTGTAAAGTAAGATAGAAGGATTAGGATCATTTTTTGAAAGTGCTGGAAACGGCCAGTTCGTTCTAATTCCAGTAATTCGTAACTATTTTGTATTGTAGGACAATTCATAACAATGGGATAGGTTAGAAATGCAGAATTGTATCAGGAAGTCTTATTTTTGTCTTAGAGAACAGCACATACCAAATGGTAGGAAATGGAAGGCTGGAATGGACCGCATTAATTATCATAAACTCCCATCACAAGCATACTATCTGGATCTCACACCTAGGACACTGCGTTTGTTCATGAGTCCGATCAGGCAACTTTGGCCATGTCGAGCACGGCAGGCCCGATCTCAACAGATCGGTCTCTGCTGCCCGTTCAGGCCATGCTAAATAGCCTCATAGAAATCACGGTTTGGACGCTTTCGCCTGTCCGGGCCGTGTACAACGATGGAAAGTGCCCGAACAACGTGCAGGAGATTGATAAATATCGGTTCAAAATGGTCATCACAAGCCAATCATTAACATTTCTTCCAACGGTGATTTGTGTCATTATTCTATTCAACCTCATTATTACCGTCCAGTGACTTTTGAAGTACCTACACAGATGTTTCACTGACCTATTGTGCATTCCTCATCTGAAATGCTTAATTTCTCCCGCTTTCATAAAGCTCTTCTAGAAAAATGTTCTGAATTTCTTCTCATTTTCAACATTTCGTTGTGTTCCAGAGTATTCCTTACGGAGCGCAAGCGGCACTTAGGGCAAAAAATTCTACTAGGATCGAGACACTAATTTGAGCATAAAGAGTAAGTCTCTAGAATCGCAGGGCACTGGGTAAAATGCGGGTGTAAGCGGCACGGAGAGCATTCTGGATTTTTAATTGTCTAAAAGTAAGTTTCTCGTAGGGTCGTATCGCAACTATTTCTTTAGTGTCGTTCTGCAAGCGGCACCTAGGAAACGAGGAGGCATTACTTATTTTTGTTGCCGAAATTCTCCAAAGATTGGGAGGGTTGAAACTTTGTTCAATAGTGATGTTGGGAATCGGCTTCAAAAATTCGAAGGGGATTTTGGAAAAAAACATTAGATCAACTACATTATGCTGCCAAAAATTCCGGCACATGTTGTTTGAATCACATTTGAATGTGAGATACACAGCTTTCAGCACTTAGTTGAGAAAGTGCCTTTCTACGGAAAATTACTTCTACGAAAATTCTCTTGGAATTAGAGCGGACTTCCAGCCTATTATCTAAATCTCGCCAGAAGGGCTTCGACCGAAAAATGTTTTCCATCTTGTTAGTAGCTTTGGATGATTTCCTTTTCAGAGAGATGATGAAAACCAAGCTTGGAGGGTAATCGTGCAAGTTTTGTGAAGTCTGAAAACTTGCGGAATATTGTGAAAAGGAAAACGAATGGTTTTCTTGTATATTTGCTTCTAATTTGTGTACATTAAGCAAGACCTTTTACTCCCTTTAGGAGAACTCAAGCAAAGGGTACCCTTTGTACCAAAAGTGGTTGAGTGTTTTTGTAAGAACCCCTTCAAACCAATTAGCGCTGTCGAAAATAATTTTGTCAACCTAAGCACCAGAAACGTGTGCCTTACTCACTTGCTAATAAAAAATATGATTATTAAAAAACTTGATTTACATAGAAATTAGCTAGTAGCTGGTTTCTATATAAATCAAGTCTAAATAAGCTTCTCTTATGAAATATCCAGTATTCGATAGCTTCGAATCTGATCTCTCTACGTGAAAATTCGAAGCAGGGAACCAGATCAGAAAATTTCCAACGATATGCAAACTTCGCATGTTGAGAATTTGAAGGTCAGCATATGTTGCCTTTTATTGATAGGAGAACGATGCAAACATCAGGAACAAACACAAGGGTATTACTTGATTGTAGGATATGACACGAACGAGTTGTGGCCATTTTGCGCCTCGGAAAATAGTATTTGAAGGTCAGCATATGTTGCCTTTTATTGATAGGAGGACGATGCAAACTGAGTGATCCTGAGCGTTGATGACTGCGTATGAAATATCCAGTATTCGATAGCTTCGAATCTGATCTCTCTACGTGAAAATTTGAAGCAGGGAACCAGATCAGAAAATTTCCAACGATATGCAAACTTCACATGTTGAGAATTTTCAGGCGAACATCAGGAACGCTCCACTTGAAGCAGCACTGAGAAACAGTAATGTGAAAGCATTCTGCACCTTTTTTAGTTCTCTTACATCTTTTTTTCTTTGAAAGTTCCAAACTTGTGAGCAACATTCAAGAGGTAAAATACATGGTCCATATAAGAGCTTCAAACTGGAGGATTTTGTGAGTGTATAATCCGAAATATGGCATACAGTACACGGTATGTCAACAAGAATTCCCAATTCCTTGATTAGAGTGCCCTCCTTCAAAGTCTTTCCATCAATCTCATAATTTGATGCTGCGACATTCCCAATGTGCATAGCTGAACAATCTAGGAGTTTATTGCCAAATTCAGGCATTTGCAAGACTTGTCGTTTATGATTGCTCAATGACAAGTGACACTTCGATTGACGTTGTACGTTCTCTGAAACGAGGTTTGCTCTATCAAACTGTGATATTGCCAGGTCGATCTAAGCAAACATTGTCGAGAACCACGCTCTCTAAATAGCACCTGAATAACCGGTTTTTAAACTCTAACGGGACAGTTCTTAAAAGCAGCGGCTCGGCAGAATAGACCTACCTCAGAATTTGACATAGATGGATAAGAGGCCCTCCAAGTGAACCAAAAGAGCAACTCCGGGCAAATGTGAATTCTGCAAGCCAGGGGGGCGAGCTTCCGCTCCCCATCCTCCTTTCGCTCCTCTCACACCTTGTGCGGACGAGTATGTTCGCCGCTGGAAAACGCCCCGTGACTCGTAGCTTCGTAGGGCAGAGTTGTTCTAGCGCTCTCTACCTCCTTACTCTGCGTCTCTGACGGCAGAGAAAAATGGCTCACTCGTCCGCGCCCGTCTCAAGGGGATTTCAAAAGACGGGGTTTTCCCCATTCTCGCGCTAAGGGGAGTTTATATCGTGATTCAGGAGGCCGGAATAGCCCCTAATCTGCCAGAACCCCAAAGTCGAAAATCTGCCGAGCCGCTGCCTTTAAAGGCAGTGGCCCGGCAAAACTAAAATCTCGAAAGTTGGTATGGTAGACTGCTGCCTGAATATGAAAGAAAGCAAGTCCAAGCGCACAGCACGCTGCCCCCGCCAAGAAAACTGCATTCGCCTGTGCGCGCAGGCCATTCTTATCGTAAGTTTTAACTCAGTTTAGGCGAAAATTGGACTGGCGGGAGTCCGCTTCGCAACGATTCGCGCTGCTCTGCAGCTTGCGTGTCTCCATTCTAATCTATCTCGCTGCAGCAGTGACTGCGGACGCACTGCTCTACTTGCAAGTTTTGCCTACTCTGGATTAAAGAAGACTGTACACGCGTTCGGACGAACTCGCGCTCCCCCTCTCACCTTTTTAGAGCCATGCCGCAATAAACTTGAGGGTCTCGCAACGACTCTTACAAAGGGACGATCCCAACTCAAGGTGGCAAATTGGAATGAACCGCACATCATTGAATGCGCCTCGATGAGCTGATTCCAAATCTACCTTTCATATCTGCGATGCCGTTTTCTGCAAAAAGTTCGGAGCGGTCAAAATGTGAAGTCATTGGAGTTTCAATGCATAGTGTGCTTCGAAATTCAACTTGGGAGTGTACGACTAGCATGATATTGAGTGTACTGATTTCAAGGAATGCTCACATTTAAAGGAAACACAAATGAGTGTTTTTGAACAACTAATTTTTATTGTTTAAAGTTTATTGAAATACACACAAAGGTGCACCAACTAAAAAAGAAAAAGGAAAGAACGAGTGAATCGTCGATATTGGTCCCTTGCAGGATTCTTCAGGTCGTTTTCCTTCTTCGGAAGGTGAGGAAATCCCCCTGCCGAGATCCTTTTCCCTACCCAGACGCAGATGTTGACCGAAATTACCAGGGCTTGGCTGACCAACTTAACCCTAGGCGGACGAATCCGTCAGGGACCCTGGGCGAATGGGAGGGGGGACCTCAAGGTAGGGGACTCGCCGACTTCAGAGCTCCTTAAACGGCTAGTCCATGCGAAGAGACTGCTTTTGCGGTGCTGACATACTTAGAACACCATAAAAGAATACGAAAATGAAAAAATAAGCATTGCTGTTCACAAGAAGATCAAAAGAGGGATGCAAAATAGATCTAGAAAATTCTCAAGTGCCAATATCTGTGGCAGATATACAAAATGAAAGTGAACAAAGAATGTACCATTCGAGTGTCCTCGAAGGTTAAGCTCTAGACGTCCGAAGTTCCCAAAACTTCCAGAACATTGATGGAGGCTAATTTCTTGCGAAATTTTGCGGTGGTATTGCGAGAAAATAGTTCTTTCGGTAACAGTTCGATCCATCTGGCTGTGCGGCACACAAAAGAATTAAAAGCGATGGTAAATATCTTGCTGCCTAGCTTTCGGTAGCATAACGCGAAACCCCCGGTGCGATTTCTACAAGGTCTAAATACCCAGAAATTACTGGGTCTTAGTCTCGTTTCTAACTTTAGAATTCGAAAGCAAAAGACTAAGTCGTTGAAAACCCTTCTACACTTAAGGCTGCGCAATCCCAAAGTGGTAAGACGCGATCTGTAAGAAGGTAGTGAGTAAGGGTACTCTGGATTTGAGTAACATCTATAGAAAACAATTCTTGTAAAAGTCTTTTGCACTTTCTCCAGTTTCTCAATGTTCTTTTTAAGAAAAGGATTCCATACTGGGGATGCATATTCCGAAAGAGGCAAGACATAAGTCTTATACAGTTTGACTAGGAGGAATGGGTCATTGCTATGCGTGTTTCTCAGAATAATGAAGAAGACTGATAGGGCTTTTTTGGTGAGTGAGTCGTAATGGATGGCGAACTTGTGATCGTCAATAAAAACCCCTAAATACCTAGTGGAATTGCACAGCTCCAGCTCAACACCATTGCAGAGATAAGTCAGCGGCTGGAAGTTACCAAAATGCACAACTTTTGACTTAAGCGCTTTAACAGGCAAATCCCAATCTTTGGACCAAGAAATCATTTTCTGTATTGAGCTAGAAATCGCCTCATAAGCAACACTTTGTTCACGCTCTTCATAACAAAAGTAGATTTTTATATCATCTGCAAAAATCTGCACTTTGATATTTGGATGCGTCTTCAAAAGTGAAGGCAAATCTGCTGTATATGTGAGAAAGAGGAGGGGAGAGAGTATGCCACCTTGCGGTACACCGGTACTGCAGTGAAAACGCTCTGAAAAGCTAGTACCGACTCGCATTGTCATACCTCTGTTATACAGGTAGGATGAGAGCCACTGAAGTAGTCGTTTATCCATTCCATAACTGGCAAGCTTAGAGAGTAATTTGGAGTGGTTAACCTTGTCGAAAGCCTTGGAAAGATCAAAAAAGACAACATCTACTGATTTTCCTTGGTTAACAGCACTTATCCAGTCATGAATAGAGTCGGAGAGTAAGGCAGTGGTTGACCCTCCTGGAAGGAAACCATGTTGGACAGAAGGAATAATCAAACGCCTATCCAACCACTCGCATAATTTTTCCTTTATGAATTTTTCTAGAATTTTGCCGCAAGACGCTGTGATACTGATGGGTCGAAAGTTAGAAACGGCGCTGTTGGATTTGCGCTTTGGTATTGCCGTTACAAGTGCTTTTTTCCAGATTTGAGGGACTTTCCCGAGCAGCAAGGATGTGTTGTAGATTAGAGGTAAGGAAAAAGCAAGATGGCTGAGCTAGAGAAGGGAGGAGTTTTGCGAAGTAAAGGGGGCACAGCGATGAACGCCCAAAGCAGCCGATCTCATGCGATCTTCACTATAACTCTGGAGAAGTCGGATATTAGCGATGAGTAAGTAAAATGATTTTTACGACCATCCTGTTCTACCACAATCCGTTTAAGACAAAGCTGTTTCACAGCAAAACTGCACTTAGTTGATCTCGCAGGGTCGGAGAGGTTGAAAAAGACACAAGCTGAAGGCACTCGAATGATGGAGGGTATACGTATCAATGAGGGTAAGTGATTATTTTCTGAAGTTATTTGTAAAGTGTTGAAAACCTCCTTCTCCTAGAAGCAAAGTGTTTTTCCCATGAAAACAATCTGTTGTTGTACCACCTTTTCAATAAGCCTTGAAGTAAATTTCATTTATCCTGTTTTAGTATAAATCGGCATCACACTATGATGAAATTCAGGTCTTCTGGCGCTCGGCAATGTAATCTCTGCTTTGTCAGAACCGGGAGGGAATCGGCATATACCTTACAGGGACTCGAAAATAACTAGATTATTGCAAGGTAAGCTCAAATAGAATTATATGGAAAGTTGATCGCTTTGATTACTTTTACTGCAGATTCACTCGGCGGTTATTCTTACACACTTATGATTGCCTGTGTCTCACCGGCTGACTCAAATGCAGAGGAAACATTGAGCACACTCAGGTTAGCGAATGTTTGGTGCGCCAAATTTGCGTTATTGACTGGAGTTTTCAACTAGAGTAACTAATGTACAAGAAAGCGAAATTGTCAAAAAAGTAGCTGCACTTGCCGTTTATGTGTGCTTGCGGACTTTTGCGCGAATGTGCATTTCCGTTGAAGTTCAAAGATACCACAATTTTTGTTTAAAGATGAATCTTTCACTTTAATTGAGTCTTAATGTAGGTTTTTATAATGCACATCGTTATGGTAGCAACTATAGTACCATAAACATTGTAATGCAGGAAGTAAGAATTTTGATCGCACGTTAGGATCACTTTGTTGTCATGCTAGATTTCGACGACGTATCTTTCAGGTATGCTGATCGTGCAAAGAAAATCAAAAATAAGCCCATTGTCAATGTCGATCCTGTTCAGCAAAGGATGCAGGAGCTCAAAGAGAAGGTACGTATTTTCACTATTACAGAAGGTGAAGGAGACCTGAATAGTAGGCTTTGTTTCGTTTTTTTTTTCACGTCTTACCATCTGAATGCAAATAGTCCGTTCCAGGTAGCTTCTCTAGAAAGAGAGCTGGCAGAAGTCCGCATGGGGATTGCACCTTGTTCCGGGGATGGCAGTTTGAGGTATTAAAGTCAAAATTAAGAAGATCTCCATTGAGAATTCTTCTTTTTAGTTCGATTGAAGCTGCTGAGTTGAGGTCTGCACTAGCAGAAAAAGAACGTCAAATGAACGAAGCTCATGGAAAAACCGCTGAGGCTATTTGTGAGAAGGTATAGCTTGCAAAGTTGCGCTTGAGTTAAAGTTGTCTGCATTCTCAGGTCAGTCTCCTCAATCAACTCCAACATGTGAGTCACAGAAGGAACGATTCAAAACCGTCGTGAACCAAACAATCGAAATGATAAGGTAAGTTATGCCACTTAGATGGATGTTTACTTGTGCATTACCCTCTCTTTTCAAGGAACAGTGGAGAAGTGGAACAACATGACCTCGTCCAGCAAATATCAGAGATTCTTACCGAACAAGTTTTGGATGAAGAGGTAACCGAATACCGTTGTAATCTGTTCGGAAATCTCACGTCTTTTTTTAGGAGAAAGACCCATCAATAGCAAAGATCCACCATGCAGACACTGATGAAGAAGGCGCTATGGATGAAACATTCAGCATAAAGTTGGTACAGTACATCAAACTTAGATATTTCGAAACTTTGGATTACGCAAATTATTTTCAATTTCAATTTATAGATTTGTTGACCAGCAAGCTTCTTTGAACAAAGAGTTAGAAGAAGTAATGCGCCAAATAACAGATAAGGAAGACATTTTGAGAAATACTGTGGAAAATCAAAAGAACGTTGACGAGCTCTTGAAAAGACATGAGGTTTGTTTAAGAGGTGCGTGGTCCTGTGCCAATTTTATAACTTCAATTCAGCAAGAAATGGGCGAGTTACAAAAACGCATAGATGCACTTTTAGCTGAAAAATTGAAGTTAGAAGCAGACCTCAAGAAGTTCTCTGTAAACAATAGGTGTCGTAAATATTGGTTTTAATGAGGAAGTAGATAGTTAGTCGGAGTCTATGGTTGGCGGAAGAACGAAGGAAAAAATTGCAAGAAATGGAGAAACAATTGGCACTGTTCCGCAAGCAGATGAATGATATGAAGCGATTGGAGAAGCAGAGGCAACAAAGTGAGGAGATGCAGAAACGAATGCAAGCGGAAATCGCGGAATTAAAAAAGGTATCTCATTTTTTGAATCTATTCTTTTGCATATCATTTGCTTCAGGCCAAAGTCCGGATGGTCAAGCAACAAAAAGAAGAGGCTGAGAAATACCGCCAGTGGAAGATAAAACATGACAGAGAGCTTCATCAGTTGAAACAGAAGGTATTCTTTCAATTCCATGCATATAAACTCTCACATTCGTTTTGCAGGAACGTAAGAGGGACATAGAAGCTGCACGGGAAAAGCGTGTGCATGATCAGCAGATGATGGTCTATAAGCAAAAGTTGGAAGATGCCAGCCGAGTGAACAAACGGCTGCAAGCTCAAATGGAGAAAGCTGCCGCATTTTCTCGTGAGAAACCAGAAAGTGAAAAAGCGTTGAAGAACGCGAAAGTAGGCTTTCCTTGAAAACTTTACATGATCCTTTTTTTCGTCACTTTTCTTCACTACATTCGCTTTTCTTCAGCACTTCATTGAAGCTGAACTTGCTCTCATCGGTAGCTCTTACGAGGCGGAGCTGATGTGCCAGTCGCTGAAAGATCAAAGACGTCAGCTTGGTAAGAAGAGGGCTCGTTTGCAACGTGAAAAAGATGCCTATCAAACTGAACCGTTACCCAAGGTAAGCGTTGTGTTCATGTAGTCCCTGTTAACCCCCTTCATTTTCAGCGTCGTTCTACTGAACAAGGAGAAGCTTACCCCCCAGAAGTGGAAGAAGCTTTGAAAAAGATTGATGAAGAACTCAAAAATATAGATCAGCAGCAGTTGCTTTGGTCGGTTCAATTCTGATATGATTATATCTTATCTCAAGTAGAATCGATTTCAGCAGCCATGAACTGGACAAACTCCAACATGGATGTACTGCCATCAATATCGAGAGCAGAGGCGAAACTAGATGGAAAGATTTGTACACCGTTGTTGCTGCTCGCCTTTACTTGAAAGTCCTATTTGATCAGGTGAGGAACTTCAATTCTTGGTTGTCCTGTCAGCAGTTGAATTTCTATGATTCAGGCTGCACATGAGCGAAGAACAGTGATCGACAACGAAAAGGAGATTAAACATCTGCAAAAAAGGATGAAAGAATTTGAAGCTGCTATGCGTGATATGAAGGTAAAACCTGAACTACTGTGATTATCTCAATTTCCGAATGGTCATATTTCACTTGTTAACTCTGTCCGATAAATTACAGTTCGTTCGTACTCCTCTTTTTTCCTCTCTTGAGATTTGTACTTCAGAAGAAACATGAAGACCAGCTCAATGAAGTGAAAGAAAAGAATAGAAGTTTACCGACGGAGTACGACAAACAGAAGACCGAAGCTGAAATGCATGTAAGTCCTGATGAAGTCTTTATGCAACTTTTGTTCTCCCTGAGTTCGCGAGTCAGCTCTTGTTGATTGCAAGCGTGTCCTTGATAAGGAAATATCACGTCCTAGATATCCACTTTGCGGCTGCGAGCTTCTTACTTGAATGCGCAAGTCAGAAGGTTTCGTCCAGTTTAAAAATGAAGATATCATCGGAGGTGTGCAGGCATTCAATATACTCTATGTTTAAGCTCCTGAACTTGATGGCAAGGATGAACACGTGCAACTCAGATAATCGCCGGGGGCAGGCGGCCATGCCATTTTTGGGCAAGCGGGCACCGGAAAAACAGTTTGCTGATTTCTTGCGGTCCGCTTGAAGATATTTGGAAGAATTTTGGCGAAATTTTGAACGAATGCTTGAAGAACAATTGCGGTTTCCTTGCAGATTAGCTGCGGCGCAGTGGCCGCATTCTCGCGGACTTTCCGCGAGAATATGCAAAATTTTCGGGGGCCGCACGGTCTTTTGTGGAGGACCGCGCAACCCCCAGGTACTTTCCGCTGCGAGAAAGTACCTCAAACTTGAGTAATTAAACCAACGGTGACATCTCTGCCACACAGAGTCTTACCTGCGCTCGACGTACGCCCGAAAATGCCTAAAAAGAGTCCGAGCGCTTGCTGAAACTTTGGCCAGCGCTCGCTGAAAGAAATTATTTGCCGAGCGCTTGCAAAAAATGTTGTATTGCTGCCCGCTGGCAGAATATGCGACCGTAAAGGAAGTGCCGCCCGCTGAAGGTTTGACCACGCCCCAAAATTCTGCTGACCGCCTGCAGAAAAGCGCGAGTTTGCGGACCGCCTGCCCCCGGCGATTGTCTGAGAAAATGGTGGACCATGAAACATTGGACGAATTCAAGCGGCTGTGTGAAAATTTTGAGCATGCTAGTCGTATTCGAAATCAAATCGCCAAAAAAGAGGTCAGTCCAATGTATAACGGTTATAATTGTTTGTCTTCAATCCTTATTTCAGTCAACGTCTTCTTCTTCTTCTTCTTCTGCGAAACCGAAGCGTCTAAGCCGATCGCGGTCTAGATCGTGCATCAGCCCATCAGTAGTGATAACGACGGAACTAGAGAAACGCACTCGTGCAAACCGCGCACGAATTCATCGGTTTGGGAATGTTAGTTTCGATTGTTGATACTCCGACTTGTCATCTCATACTATTGTTCTCAAGGTGATTCCAACTGATGTAATCGATACTGAGGACTCGGAAGAAGAGGAGAGTGTTGCAGATACCTCGTATCATCCGAATTTTGAGCACCATACTCATCATGGTGAAAAGAAGAAGACAAAGCTTAGTGTAGTGTACGTTCTTCAAGTGCTACAAAGTCATTGTGGCTACTTTTGCGCAATACCTTTTGCTTTTAGTACCGATCTATTTCCTACACCGAACCTCACGCATATTCAACATGAAAGCACTGGTGAAGGCGCGATGTCTCCACGAAGTCGACGACAGTCTAGGCTTCTACATCATCCTCCTGCTCCCATTTTTCAAAAAGAAAGAGAAGTTTTTGTGCCATGAAGTTTTGATGGATCACTATAAGCGTCTCCTTTTAGAACATATGCAACGAAACAATTTTGTTGGATTCGGATACTTCGAGCGCTACAGGCCATCCGGGGGTGGGGGAACGAAAGCCGCCAGGTCCAGCCGCCTTTCGCGGCCAGCTGGTCCTTTCGCAGCGTTGTTGCATGTCGTTCCAGGACCAGCAGTCCGCGGAGGCGGCTGGACCTGGCGGCTTTCGTTCCCCCACCCGCCATCCGGATGCAGGGGATTGTGCTGTAAGTCTACATTCATAACTTTCAGTCATATACAATGTTTATGTCTACAGCCTGATGATCCGAATCCGCTAAGAAATGCGACTCTCTTGTCTGGCCTTGTTCCTCATCTGGATCCCGATTGTGGCCCATTGTAGAAAGATTGTCTCACAGGCCAAACAACCGGTCACTGCCTATCGTCATTTCTCGAACCTGTTTTATGTCACTGTAGATTTTATAATTCGAGACCTATTAATTCCACCCGTAACAGTCGGCCTTGCACTTGTAAATATATTAATTGCTTCACGAGATAAAATTTTTACAAGATTGTCATGCTCTGCTTACCAGTGCTTCTATAGGTGATCCAAGGACAGTTCTTATGCATATCGTACTGCAGGCGGTTATGGACTACCCTTTCTTTTGGGAAGGGTCTGCAGATTGCACGTAGGGATATTAGGATTAGGCATCAATATTTTTTCTTGTCAATGTTTTTCAAGAAGCGAAACATTTTCTTGACTATTTTCTATCATGAGTTTAAGATTCGACCACTCTTGAAATGACACTGAAACTGTTAAAAGCTTTGTCCCAAGGAAAATTTTGGGAAGGAAATTGAATAATATCGTAATTACTCCAAGTTGCTTAGAGCGGGTGTGGTGCGCAAGGTAACAGTCACAACTTTGTACCTATCAAGAACTCTTCGGTGCAAGCGACACAGCACAATAAGAGGAAGGGGGAAAGTGGGGTAGGGGGGCAACTACATGACTTGATGCCATCAGTAAGATCATTTGTAAAATTCCGCACGGGTAACTTTACATGTTTGCGTTTTGTGTGTACCTCTCATGTGCCTTCCGGCCAGAATTCACCAAATATTGTGATCGGACAGCGCAAGAGAATCACGTCTTAGTTTTACTGTGATTGAAGGTGTCTTACCTTTATAGGAACTTTCCTTATTCATAATTTGATAATACTAGCGACAGAGCGATACGTAAAAGCTGCCCTACGAATGTCCAAAACGATATTCCAAGAGAGAAAAACATTCCTACGGGCCTTCTATAAAGCTGTAACCTGAAACAAATGATATCATATTCTGGGATAAATCCGCCATACTGCCCCCCCCCCCCCCCTCCTGCAAACCAATATAGCAGGGAAACCGTATAGGCTGCTTACAGGCGAAAAATTGCCCTACGGGCAGGCCGCGGACGGTAATTAGTCATTAAAAGAAAGTGCCTGAAGGCCGCATACAGACCTTTATTCTAAGGAGTGACTGCCCTGTGGGCTGCTTACGAACCGACATTTTTCAAAAAAAAAGATACTCTTAAAAGAAACTGTTTATGAAAAAGGAAGCCGCCTGCGGTCTTCCAATTCGAGGAAAGGTTGCCCTGTGGGCCGCACACAGACCGATATTTTGAGAAGGAATTGTCCTTTAAGTCTACGAACCAACCTTCAAAACATGCCCAAAGAGCCGCTTGGAGACTGAAATCTCAAGAGTAGTTACTCACAAGTTCCCTACAGACCGATGTTCATAAAAAAAAAGAAATGCCCTGTGAGAAGCTTATAGACCTTCTTTAGAAAGTGCTGCCGTAAAAGCCCCTCCCCTGACCCCCCCCCCCCCCCCCAAAAACCCCTTGGAAAAAGACCGCGCTAAGGCCGCCCTACAAACCGATACTTTAGGAGAAAGCTATCTTACAACCCCCCTCCCACCCTTCTCCTCCCCCACAGACCAATAATCATGAGAAAGCACTGCCCTATTGATCATCCCAAAATCCTAAAACATTCTAAATTACCCTACAACCATAAGTTTGATAGTCTAGAGATAGAACCTCAAAAGTGAAGGTTCTTTGGATTTCGTTCCCCCACAAAAAGTGAAGGTTGTTTACAGAATATAACAGAAGAGAAGAACATGCAAAACAAATGGAAAAAGTGGAAGAAACTTTCAGAAACGGGATAAAAGCGCTGCAGTAGGTTTGAAATCTTTCATTTGGCGGCATTTCGAACTCCAGGTTTCCGCCTCAGGACCAGACAATACGGGGTGAAGACGAGAAAAAGCTCAATTCCTCTTTGTGATTGTTTCAAACACAACCTTGTTTTGATAGTGTTGATTATCAGGAAGAAGACAAACAAGAAAAGAATTAGTAGGAACACGCAAAGTTTTGTTATTACTAAGTCAAAATGCGGTCAAAGCAAATGTAATTTTTGTAGCGTCCTTTGATTTTACTCAGGGCATTGTCATTTCTGTTTCCCGGGACGTTGCCCGGATTGTTGCGCTCATTATTCTGAGTAATAATCACCCAAACCCGCTGCGAAACACTGAAAGGGAACAAGATAGAGAAAAACGCACTTTTTACGATTTTTCGCAAACAGAGGAGAAAGAGCAGAGTCGACGGGACTTTGACTCTGGTCGCAAATCTTCATGGGGCCTTAACGAAACCCTGCAACATTATATATCACTAGCTGGCTTACCCGGCTTCGCCCGGCCCTGTCAAAACACTATGATGGAGCTCTCATCTGTATCCTTACAACCTTCCCTTTGCCCATGTCTACATGCCATTTCCCTATTCCCGCTGTTTTAGAAATCAGCATGCTCGATTACCTCCTGTGCCAACTCCCAGCCCGTAACTCAAACTTTGCAAAAAATCGATAAAATCGATAAAAGTAGCGGATAATTCTAAAAACTAGTATTGTATTCGTAATCAGCATGCTCGGTTACCCTCTGTGCCAACTCCCAGCCCCGCATCAAACTTTGCAAAAAATCGATAAAAATCGATAAAATTGATATCGATCGATGACGAAAAGTAGCCTATGACACCCGCCCCGCCCCGAAGTGTATGTGTACGATGGAAATTTACACAAAACCTCATTTTAGCAGAAAGAAAGTTAGAAAGCGCAATTTTTTGGATTAGTTGGGACAACTTAAGGATATCATTCCCTATACTTGCTTCATCCACATTCATTCCGATTTAGTTATGATCATAACATCCTGGGCTTTGCCCCGAAAGAGTTTTTTTTTATTTGAGTGAAGACTGTGTTCAATCATGGCATTTAAAGTGAAGCTTAAAGGCAGGGTCCGGGCAAAAACTCGATTTTGAGATTTTGTGCTTACCCGGGCCTATTCGCTACGCTGAATCCGTAAATGCACATTGGAGAGCGCGAAAACGGCGAAAAACGGCTCTTACACACGAGAGAAATCAGCAGGTGGGCGGAGTCCTCCCCACTGTAAACTCACGCTCCCAGCTTCGGGAGCGATTCTCTCGCTTCCGGTTTCATGTCAATCATTCGCACTTGGCCGATAGCGATGTTAGGAGGACTAGCGGAATTGAGAAGATAGCTCTGGAAGCTGGGCCGTGAATTCGCAGCGGGGAGGACCCCGCCCACTTGCTGTTTCCCTCCTGCGCTAAAGCTCTTTTTTGCCGTTTTCCCGCTTTCCAATGTGGATTTTCGGATTCAGCGTGGCGAATAGGCTCGTATAAGCACAAAATCTGAAAATCGAGTTTTTGCCCGGACACTGCCTTTAACAGCGTAAATTGCTCTTTGTATCTGGGGTATGGACCCAGTTCAGCCTTACATAATTTTTCGCTGCGCGCAATTTGAATATAAGTTACAAACAATTTTCGACCATTTCAACTGCATGTGCATTTTTCAGGTAGGTTGCGGGGGTACAGGCGGGTTCAAGCGCAGTCTGAAGCATAGTTGCGATAGCGAGAGCAATAGATCTTACCCCTCTCACGTTTGAGCCAAAAGCAGATGGCCCCCTTCTTTTTCGGAAGGTAGTTTGAGAGTAAATTATGATCAAAAAGCTATTAGAGATTCACCTAGAAACATAACCACCACATATTCCATGAAAAGAAGTATTTCTATCAATTATAATGAGAATTATTAGAGTAGTAGCTTTTTTTCGCACTATTTCAAAGACGTCTACAGTAGATACTGTAGCATAAAAAATTAGCAAAAAAGTTTGGGAAATAAAAATAACTTGGAATTTTAAACACTCCAAAAACAAATATAAGAATCAAAAAATATTTGAATTTTTCTTTTTAAAAACCGCAATGGTTGATGCATGTTTGCTGCCTCTTTCTTCCACGTTTCAAAAAAAATTTTTTTGAACATATTTATTTCCAAGCCTTAAGGTTTTCTAAGGCTTGTCTCAGTTTTAGATAATCAGATAGAAGTCCTTGCCTGTAAGAGAAGAAAGAAAAAACCAATTAATAAGTAAAAAAAAACTAACTAATAAGTATAGTCTATATATGGCAATTCTACATCCAGGTTGTCGATGCTCATAAAAACAAAAGAGTCCTGCTAAAGACTGCAAAAATAGCCCAGTGTGATACGCAGTGATTACCGTAAATAATAAATGATACGTTGGTCAGATTACTTTTTTATGGAATGAAAGAGAATTAAATGCATTTTTTGTCAGTTAAAGCGAATCATTAGATATATTGCTCAGATAATTCTCTCACATCTAACTGGAAGAGCTAGAAAAAATTCGACGGTCTTCGTCGATTCTCCATAATCTCAGCTTTCGAATGGTATAAAGCATGTTAGGGCTTTTTTGCTTCCCGGTTCTAAAAAGCACTTGCTCCGGTGACCCATAAAAGCCAGCACATTGGAGGAGCAAGCTAATAGTAAATATCTCCATCCCATTTTTGAGAATTGTCAAGTATTTTTACCCCAACTCTATGAAACATTCGAAAGCTTAGGAAACAGGGAATCGACATAGGCCGTCGACGACTTTTTTGTAACCCTAATCTAACGAGAGATACGCAGCATTTTTTGAAACTATACCCATTTGACAGGTGATTTCTGCCCAACTACCGCTGATTATCTATCTTTATGACAGAGCAAGTATTCATCAATAAACGTAGACCGTCGACTTTCTCGTGGCTTTCATCCTGATTGCGATAGGAGAGCAGAAAGTGAACACACTAAATCAGTTGATATGTTAACCAGATAGAATCGCTCGTATATCCCGGAGCAGAATACCTATTGACAGTGTTGTTCGATTCGTCATGACCGCTTTCGAATGGTGTGTATATCGTTAGGGCACGCTTTCAGGGGTCGCTCATCCCTTCACCCTAGAAGGATGGGAGTAGCGAAGACCCCCTTCACCTGGAGAGGGCCCGGCTCCCCCTATCGCACCTATGCCACGCGGGAGTGGAGATGC